TTTTACATAAGAAAATCCTCCTGAAGAAAGAAAAGCATTTTTAACAATCAATCGAAATTTGGCTTATGAATATTGGAATAACATATTTAATAGGTTCTCTTCATTTATTCGTTTACAAAGAACAATTGCCTATGTTTTAAGATTTATTAATAACTCAAAACTGAATTCAGAAAAAATATTTGATTAAGACAAATAAAGCGAATTATAAAAAATTGCATTACATGTTTTAGATTTAGAACTCGATCTTGTCAACAAATTATGGTAAATTTACCAAAAGATAGAGTTTCCATAGCGCGACCATTCCAAAGAATAGGAGTAGATTATGGTGGCCCATTTTTCATAAAATCCTCAAGATTACGTAAGGCGCCAGTTATGAAATGTTACATTGTAATTTTTGTGTGCATGGTTACAAAGGCAGTTCATATTGAATTAGTATCAAGTCTATCTACTGAATTATTTTTGTTAACTCTTAAAAGGTTTATTTCTCGAAGAGGGAGTCCGACAATAATATACAGTGACAATGCTATGAATTTTCTCGGATCTAGAAATCAATTAAGATAATTATTTGAATTTTTTAAAAACAGAAGAAGGAATTTTTACAAGATCAATTTCTAAAATTTGCCTCTTTCCATATAATGATTAATGATTAAATAAAATTGTTAGTTTTTTGAAGATAAAACTTCAACGCGGGGGTGTATGTTGTGGTTCTATAAAAAATGCATTGTTGAGGTATCTAAGTAACAGTACAGTGTTTTTATTAGATAGCTCTGAATTGAATTGAGGAAAAAGAAAAGAGTTGTACTTGACAACGTAAATAAAAAGATTAAACTTCACATTGAGCATAATTTCCCCTATATTATAATAAAAAACAAGATACAGTCCATTCACGTCTCTTATGGTGAACAGTTAAGCTGCATCACTTACAGTCTCTTCCTTTTTGTAGTATTTTTCATCAAATATTACATTTCGAGCAGCAACAATTTTACGGTTCTCTTCATCCCATAATTTATATCCTCCTGAACATACCATTTTTTCCCTTTTGCATCAAGCTTGTGTCTTAGCTCCTTTGGTACATGATTACATGCAGTGCTACCGAAAACTATTAAATGTGCCACATTTGGAATTTTTCCTTCCCATAGTTCACTAGGTGTCTTGGCCTTTGATACTGTGGGACTTCTGTTTGTCACATATGCTGAATAGTAAATAGCTTCACCCCAAAATTCTCTTGGTAAATTGGAATCCAATAATATAGTTCGAGCTTTATTCATTAAAGTCCGTTCATCTCTGGATTATATGCCACCATATACTGTAATCTTATGCCTTTTACTCTACAAAATTCTTGAACTTCTCTTGATACATATTCTCCCCCGTTGTCGGTCCTCAACTTTAACAAATTCCTACTAAAATGTTTAGTAACATAATTATAGTAATGCTTGAATTGCTGAAACACATCAGACTTATTTTTAATTAAATAAACCATAACAAAATGGGTATAATCGTCAATGAATGTAACGAAATAATTATAACCGTCCCAAGTAGTGGGACTAATAGGTCCACATACATCGCTATGAACTAATTCTAAAGGTTTTGTTGCCCTATACCCCGGTTTGTTAAATGGTTTTTTCGTCATCTTACCTAGCAAACACGGTTCACACAAAACATTTTCTACATTAACTTTTTTAATATTTCCGATTCCATCTATTAGATTACTTTTTGCTAACTCGCAAATACTATTTAAACTTAAATGACCAAAACATTTATGCCATAATTGTACAGATCAGTTTTACTGTCAGAAATGGAATAATTACCGTTAATCTTTTCTACTTTCATATTTACTGAATATATTGAACCATTGCTGTTGCCAATCATTATTAAGTTATCGTTATTATATACTTTTACATAACCGTTATTGAAAACAACTTTTAGACCTGCATTTTCCATCCTTGAAACAAATTTTTTCTTAAATCAGGTACATAATAGACATTCTTTATCGTACTAAATTTTACTACCTTATTTACTACACAATTAACTTCCATATTTTCCACTCCTATGTTCCGTTTTTTGCTGCTGAAATTTTTCTCGGGATCCGTAACTCGGTGTATTCGCTGAACTGGTCCTTGTTGTTAATCAGATGATCTGAACAGCCTGAATCAATGCACCACTCCACATTTTCTTGCTCTTCACTTTGACATTCATTTACTTCACTTGTTGATTGACATACAAAAACTGATTTTTCCTCTCCATCTGCTACAAATGACTGATGACCTCTGCCTTGATAAAATTGTTGTCCTCTTCCTCGTCCTCGATAATATTTTCTCTCATACCCTCTATTCTGAACTCGTTCCTGCACCTGAGTGCCTGACATACCTGTCAGTGTTCTGATTTGTTGGATAAAATTTTCTTTGATGACATTGGAACTTTATGTGGCCTGGCTTCCCACAAAAATAGCACAAAAATGCAGAATCAACGTTTGTGCTGTCTACCTTTGATTTCTTTCGCTTTTCTTCTTCACCTAGTAGTCTGTTTTTGACAAAAACTAATTTCAAATTTTCCACTGTCTCTAATGCTGTAACTATCGCTTCATATGATTCGGGCATTGACATTAAAACGTAATTTATTTTTTCTTCAGACAGTTCACTATCCGCGTCTTTTAACTGTGAAAATATTTCTTCTAATTGAACAAAGAAATTCAGTAGTACATCTTTCTCGTTATATTTCATATCACTTAATTTCCTTCTCAAAAATAATTTGCTTCGAACACTTTTTTCTTGAAATTGTCTTCCAAATTTTTAAACATATCATATGCCGTTTCTTTGTCCTTTAAATACTCCAAGTGACTATCTGCTACTACCCCTATTATAATTGCTTGGGCTCGTGCTTCTATAGATTCGTTTTCTGTTTTCTCGTTGAACTGTACATCTTCAATAGCTTTTATAGCTTTACTTTCACATAGTATGCTTTTGATTCTGAACGACCATGCTGCAAAATTTTCCCCAGCAAAGGGCACAATGTTGAATTTCTCTCTGCTCAACATATCGTTGTTTTCTTAAGCGACTCAACCCTCAAGCGACTTTGTGTGTGCGTGTGGTTGTGTTTTGGTACGCTCCGCTAATTAAACACAAAAATATAGTGAAAAGGTGTCGTTAAAATCCTAATGACAAACTTTGAACAAAGTTAATAAATAAATACGTCATATGGAACATTTTACTGCTATTAATTGAATACTTTATAATAAATCAGTGATAATTTATAAATATTTAGACTATAAATCGTTGAAATGTGTTCTTAGACAGGACGCAGAAAAACTTATCATAGGTGGATAAGATAAACAGACTAAAAACAGTGCGAGACTTAAATGTATATCGAATTAAATTGACTAATTATGACGAGTAATGCCAGTGCATTAGTATGCTGTAAATGCGTTGTTGTGATAAGACACAATGCACACAAAATTCAGTGCAACAAATGTCTCTCTTGGATTCACAGGGATTGTGCCAATTTGACTATTGAACAAGTACAACACTACATAAGGGAATCAACCATAGATAAAGGTAAAAAGTGGCTTTGTAATTCTTGCTAAAAATTAAGGCAAGATCTAAATGTCAGTAGAATAGGTCTTGACAAGACTGATGCGAACACCTCTCAGACAACTTTAAATAACGAATCTATTATTACTCAAGAAAATAACTTCTTAAAAAGACTAGTTAAAGAATTAGAAGAAAAAAATGATCTCCTAAGACAAAATAAGGCTCTACTGGAACAAAGAGTACTGGAATTGGAAGAAAAACTGGACCAAAGAGGAAAGATAAAAAAGACAAAGGAATTGAATAATAAAGATAGACAAATGTGCCAATTAGACTCAGCTGATCTAGAAACTAAACAGACAAGAACTGAGAGAGAGGAAATCTCCACTCCACAAAGCATAAACTTATTAAATCAACCACCAATAATACATAGCTATAGAGATGCTTTAGTATGCACAGAAAATGTTAAAAACAATACAAATTCACAGAAAAGCAGGAAGATAAAAAAGCGAAGAAAGTTCTTGACAGGAACAGCAAAAACTGAAGATCATGAAGATGACTTCATAGGTAAAGACGAAAATAAAAATAAGAAGGCGTGGTTCTTTATTTCAAGTGTAAAAGACCATGTAACAGGAGAAAAAATAAGGAATTATATTTTACGAAAAACCGGAGTTACAGATGATGAAGAATTAGTGATCAAACATCTCACAACGAAATATGATAATATAAGAAGGGATTGCAAATGTTACCAAGTAGGCATTAAATTTGACCTAAAAGATATGTTATACGACCCAAATTTCTGGCCAAGCGGGGTAGCCTATAGGCGTTTCGATTTTGAAGCGGTCAAGCATGATGAACCTCTTGAGGCGGGTTTTTAAATACAAAAACTAACGAATTACTGTCTACATACACAATATTTCATCAAAATATGCAGTGTTTAAAAAATAAGTTCTTGGAACTAGATTTGTTTACAAGAAGTTTGGAAAATCAACCAGCCATCTTATGTATAACAGAGCATTGGTATACATCTGAAGAAATATTCTGCATGCACCTGGATGGTTATAATATAGCATCTGTATGGTCTAGAGAAATTGTAAAGAACGGTGGTTCCTGTATATTTGTATATGAGGAGGTATACGATTTAAAACAAAAAAGTCTTGAATGTAATGTAGAGTGTTCGTCTGTTGTTTGTCGGGAATTAAAATTGCTAATTTTGTGTATATATAGACCCCCTAAGGGTAATTTAGATATATTTTTTCAAACACTAGCGGAAATACTAAATCTAGCACATAATTCTTTTAGAACATATAAAGTTATCTTATGTGGAGATTTCAATATTGATCTACATATTAATGCTAACATAAATGCCCAAAATTTTAGGAATTTGTTACTTATGTACAATTTAAAGCAAACTATATTTGATCCTACTAGAATAACAAAAAATTCTCAGTCATTGATAGATAATATATTTATAAACTTTGATAATGCTCATATAGGTAAAGTAATTACAACAGCTTTATCTGATCACGAGGGCCAGTTACTGGAACTTGAGGCACCTGAAACAAAAAAAACTAAAATAAACAAAAAGAGAATTTTTTCAGAAACTAAAATGCAACAATTTAAACAAGAACTGCAAAAATATGATTGGGCTGATGTTTATTGCGCGGAAGACCCAAATAAAACATTTAACAGATTTGTAAGTACATTTAAAAATATTATGAATATACTTTTTCCGGTAAAAACTTTGAGAGAAATGAAAAAATCAAAAAACTGGATCACCCAAGGTATAAAGATATCTTGCAGAAATAAAAGAAATATGTATGTACAAAAAAGGAATCGCGAAATATCTACTGAAATATATAAACAGTATTGCAGTATTCTCAAAAAAGTCATATACACGGCAAAAACATGGGCACATATGTCATATATTGAGTCAACAAAAAACAAAGGAAAAGCCATTTGGAATTTGGTGAAAACTTTTAGTGGAAAAAAAACTAAAAACGACGATACGATATTAAAAAATATTGATATTTCTGAAAAAAATAAAATAAAAGTTTTGAACAATGTAAATAACTTCTTTGCAAATCAAGGCGATCAAGTCAATCACATTAATCATATTAATGTTGAAAAAGACAATCAATTTTCCGATAACACCATATTTTTACTTCCGACCGACCCAAATGAGGTCTACAATGTAATTATGAGTTTAAAAAACACTAATTCTGTAGGGGAAGATGAAATACCAGTTAAATTACTTAAATTTACAGCGGCTGAAATATCAATTCCACTAACATACTTAATTAATTTAACATTAAAAACAGGAACTTTTCCTGAAAATCTTAAAATTGCCCATGTTAAGGCCGTGTATAAAAAAGGTGAAAAAAGTCTTAGGAACAACTATAGGCCTATTGCATTACTGTCAAATATAAGCAAAGTTTTTGAAAAAATAATCTATAACAGAATATTACATTTTTTGGAATGTCATAATCTGCTTACAGATGCACAAAACGGGTTTAGGAAAAATAAAACAACAACTAGGGCTATATATCAGGCATTGTGTGAAATTACAAGATTATTAAATGAAAAAAACAGTACCATGGCTGTATGCTTGGATTTATCCAAAGCGTTTGATTCTGTGGATCATGACATTCTAAATAAAAAGATTCAAATGTATGGCATTCGAGGTGTTGCCTCAGAATTGATAAAATCTTACCTGCTGAATAGGAAGCAGTGTGTTGTAGAAACGGACGATACTGGCGCTCTCATAAAATCAAACGTAGTATTAATAGAAAGGGGTGTACCTCAGGGGTCGATATTGGGTCCTTTGTTGTATATTTTATACACAAATGACCTGCCCTCAACAGTTGATGTAAAAACTATTATGTATGCTGATGATACATCTATAATAATCGGTAATAAAAATAAGGAATACCTAAAACAAATGGTGACCGCCACATTGGATTCCCTGGGAGACTATTTCTATAAAAATAATTTAAAATTAAATAAAGAAAAAACACAAATAATCAACTTTACATACAAAAAGGAGGATAATGAGATTATACATACTACTGGCAATGACATCATAACATCTATGAATAGCACCTCCTTTTTGGGGGTAAAGATTGATTCACGTTTGAACTGGAAAACCCATGTAGACCATGTTGGTCAAAAGATCGCTAAATACTGTTATGCTCTAAAAGTAATAGCTCAAAATATTAATATTCCTACAGCATTTATAGCATACCATGCATATGTTCAATCTCAAATAAAATATGGAATTGTCTTCTGGGGAAACTCTAGTGATGCTATCGATTTATTTGTACTACAAAAGAGATGCATTAGAAATATTCTAAACATGAAACAGACAGATAGCTGTAAACAAATTTTTATTGAAAAAAGAATACTTACCTTAGTGAGCTTATACATATATGAAGTAATTATATTTGTTAAGCAAAATATAAACTTATTCGCAGATTTTAACTTATCTCATTTATATGATACCAGAAACAAAAATACATTAGTGACTGAAAATATAGTAAAATATAGTTATATTCAAAGGAATGTCCCATATTCATTACTAAAAATTTATAATAAATTACCTCTAGATATAAGAAATTTATCGTGCAAAGATATTAGGGTAAAATTCTTTTAGACAAAGCATATTATACTTTAAAGGAATTCTTTGAAGATAATATATATTGATTTATTGTCATTATACTATGTATGTATGTATCAGTGCATAAATTGTGTTATTTTGTTCGTGTTTACTTATCAGCAATGTTAGTATTGGTGTGCATCTTGTTTTATATTTAATATTACTTCTTATATTTAAATATTTAACTTTTTTTACTATTTTTTACTACATATTGACGAGTTCTACACCCTAAGGGTATTTTGTAATTGTTATGCAAAGTGAACTAATAAAGATTTTAAGTACTTACTTACTTACTTACTTAAAACTTTTGTTCACTGTTCGAATTATTTCAAAATATCCACTACTACTTGCGTTTTATTCTGGGCCAATAACCCTGTTAAATTTCTATTACAAATAATCACTCGGACTTCCTTCTCTCTCCTTTATTATCTTTTAAAAATACAAAACTATATTTTAACAGTTCAATAATTTTTTATATGTCACTTTCTCTTTTATTTTATTTACAACTACTTCCTAGCAACATCTATCTTCTTTTTTCTATACATATATGATATAACAATAGTAAATATGAAAATATCAATATTGTTCTCAACAAGAAAGGCTTCAGTGAATTGCTCCATGCAGACTTGCAAAGAGTATGATCAAGTTCCATCTGTGTACCAAAATGTGCCATCAAAATAAATGCGCCTTGTTCCGGTGTAAACGGCATTTTTCTATAAATCTACAAAATATAAGAATGTAAAAATGAACATAACCTTAAAATATTCATTTAACTTACTGAAAAAACGTCGAATTTTGGAACTTCTGAAATTAACAATTTTTTTTCAACTCAACAGACAATGATTAATTTGTATAAAAGCACAGAGATACTGGTAAACCTTGCCAAATTTTACAAACATTAACAAGAAAAATTACGAACGCCTCTGAATTGATATTTCATCTAGGGTCTTAAGTTGGTAATTATTTCTTGGTAATTTCTGAAACACCAACTTAAGAAACTACTACTGAGCGCCAAACAAATCTGGTCATGTGGGACTTGGGTATTTATGAAGGCACTGTATAAGTAGGTTAAAAAAACTAGAAACCTTGTAGGAAGTTATACATTGGTAAGTGGATAAAAAATTGAAATAGAAACGCCTTTCCTTTCTAATGTTTTCCGAGATTTTAGTAAATGAAATGTGAAATTGGCAAATCAAAAAAATCAAGTGATTACTTGCGTGCACGTCATTCGTTTTATATTACTTTTTAAGTAAAAATTATTGCTAAAATCAAATTTTGAAGTAAAGAAAAATATGCATTAAGAAATATATAATTTCTCTTTACCACATCCAAACGTTTATAATCTTAAGTGCTTATATTTATACAAGGTGAATTAGAATTACGGTTGAACTTGAACTCGTGAGTATAAGATAGTAATTTTGAAAATAAATAGGTTTTTTCATATGAATATTTTTTACAAAAATGCCATCTATTCGAGATATAGTTTCAGAAGGTTTATTTTTAAAAACTTGAAAATTTTTACATTTTTAATCTCACTAAAAAGCCGTTACTGTTATAGAAATGGTAAAACACATATTAAAATATAATTTTACGTAGAATTCAATATAATTTCTAATAGTGGTTTCCAAAATATCTTAATATAAACTTGATTCTTTTTAAATGGGACGAATAGCTGGTTATAGGCTGACAGAAAAGCATATTATATTTGATTTTATAGAGATAATCAGACAAGATTCAGAAGTTGATATGTTGATTTTGCAGGAAACACCAATTAATATTTTAAATTTTTTATGTATAATTTTATTCTATGCATATTTATTAGTAGAAAGGAGAAACAATCCTAATAAAATTTGGAAATAGTAAGATCTTTCTATAGCAGTTATTGTTCATGTTAGTCTTTGTTAAGGGTGATATCAGAACAACAACAATACAAAATACGTTCTTATTTGAAACATTTCATTATTTAACAATTTTAGTATCAGGACGTTTTTATATTGTTCACAATCCGGGAATGGTTGGTCTGATGTAACCCCACGTTGGGCACCATGTTCAGGATCCGGGTGTGGTATTGTTTGTATGCGAAGTTTTACTTATTTCACTCCACGGAACGAGAAATTTATTTTTATTTCTATCCAGAAAAGCTAACTACAGGAAAATCAAAATTAGTAAAACAAAAATGTAGGTATTGTTTATTTTATTATTTCGTTTTTTGATTGGTTTCTCAGGGTCTGGATTTCTTTATTATTGCATATGAAATTTGGATCAAAATTTGCTTAGGAAAGAAACTTTATGATAGATAATTAGGTCGTATATAAGTTACTAATTTTGTGGAAATTGTTAATACACGATAAAGTTATAAATACTATTTTAATGAGTAAATAGAAATACATACAGATAATAAATAATATAAACAATAATGATAATAAATTATTACATAAATATATACAGGGTGATTAATTCATAACGTAATTAATTTTATCTACATATTTGGAATATATATAAAGACAGAAAATCGACTTCCGTTAATTCGGCGCACTACTTCGCAACACATTTTATGACAGGGAACGCGAAGGCGGACTACAGAACATCCGAATGTTGATGTAAAACAACTGATTTCTCCAGTCGTGTTGAATTTGGAATGTGTGCAGCGGATACCAACTTTATTAACAAAGTACCATGGACGAATAAGTGTTTTTTTTTTAGCCGTACTGGCATTTTAAATAGCTAGGTACCATACCACTCTTTGAAAAGCAATAACGATTCTCTGGACTCTGCCTTCCAATCTAGTTCTGATTAGCCTCCTCTTGGCTTGAAACAGGAATATTTGCATACAGATCGCAGGTCCTGCGATACTAGACTCCGCTATTTGCTGGACATCTAAATAATGAGGGATTGAGAGACACCAATTTTTGTATCAAAATTTGTCGCACCAATTTTTTCATTTTAAACCAACCCTGCCTACTACCTTTTTACTATTCTTAGTAACAGCAGAGAAAATAATTATAATAATTATTTGTTAACTAAAATGGCCATCGCAACAGTAAAAAAACGTACGTGAGAGGTTAATTTCCGGACACCCTGCATATTTCTGATACTAGTACTATATAAACAAAAATTATTTTTAGAATTATCTTACCCTTTAATCATCGAGTACCTACTACTTGTAAGAGCCATTAATTTTAATTTACAAAATATTTAGATATTTTATTTATTTATTATACATTTATTAAACAGTAGAACATTAGCTGAAGCGTAGGAGATTATTGGGAACGTCGATTTGTGAAAGTACCTATCTTTTACCTACATAGGTGAGGATCAAGGTGTCTCAACTTAATCGATTGGTAAGCCTTAGGTAACTGGCGTACTGTGGTACCCAATTGGTCCACAGTGTTTTGTCTTATGCTTCCTCCATTATGTAGGGCGGTGTTAATTTGACAACAGATTATATTTTTGTCCGTAATTTTGTATATATAGTTTTAACACTATCATTGTGATTCGTATGAACGAAATTATATGAATAATTTTACGGCATACCTAAACAAAATGTGAGATTAGTAACAGATAAGTATTAAAGCACATACACAGGGTGTCTCACGGTGACGGCTCATTAGAATTATTTCAGAGACTACTTCGATTTGAATTTTGAAAATTTGGGATACCGGGTTTTCGGGCATGCCCTTCTCAAAAAATAATGGCGTCCACGTACCACTTCCGGTTATACCGGAAATCGCCATCAACTTGCTTATTTTAAATGGAACACCCTATACAGTGTGTGCCATTTAACACTCTCATTGCCAATATCTCCGAAATGAAGAAATTTATTTCAGTTCCAGCAACTGGGGTTGATAGGTCCCTCCAATAGCTTCAAATTGCAGTTAGAATTGTTAGTTCAAATCTTTCTGTATAGATGGCGTGGTGATACTAAAAAAAATTTTTAACGTAGAAATGCAGTCCATCTGAAAGGTCGTTAAATTTTGAGTAATTTTTGTAATATAAAATTTTTCCCTATATTTACTACTTGTTTTCGAGATAAGTCGACTTCAATATAAATTATAAAACAAACAAATGATCTACTACAGAAAAAAAAATGTACAACGGTAAATCTTATAAGGGGCAGAGACAAGCCGTATTTTATCAAATAGTATTAGAAAATTTCAGTCATAGATGACTCATGTCATTTGTTTAAAATAAAACATGTATGGCAGATGACACATATTAGTTTTCCATTAATTATAGTTATATCAGGTTGCGTCTTTCAATTTAACTATACTAGTTATGAAAATATTTTTACATAATGAATTACTCAAATGCAGATAAATTAGATATGGTATTAATGTTTGGCGAAGCTCAACGAAATGCTGTTGCTGCACGACAGTTATAAGCTATTCGTTTCCAATGGGGCCTTAGCCGGATAGGAAGACATTTGTAAGTTTATGCCAACATTTTCTAAATTACAGTAGTTTTACTAAACATAAGCCACATCGAATTAAAACTGCTAGGAATGATGAGAATACAGCTCAAGTGTGTTAATAATAATCCTAAGACTTCCCTAAGGCAACTTCAGGCAGAGTCTAATATTTCTACTACATCTTGCCGCAGAATTTTGAAAGACAATCGCTATTTCCCCTATAAAATTCACCTCGTTCAATATTTAAGAGCTGGTGATGAGCAACAGAAATTATATTTTATAGCTCAATTATTAGTGCTCTATGAAGAAAACAATAATTTATTTAATAATATCTTATGGAGTGATGAAAGTAGATTTCATAATAATGGTACAGTAATTGCCGATATTAGTCTGACAATAATCCAAGAGTAATGCATCAAACCCAAAATCAATCTGTTTTTTTTTTCTGTAAATGTTTGGTGCGGCATTTTGAGTGGCTATTTAATTGGACGATATCTTTA